AGTTTTCACAGCCTCATAGAGGGGTTGTTTGGTGTAGGAGGTGGGAGTGGTTATGTGCGGGTGTGGGGTTGTGTGAGGGTGTGGGATTATGTGATGATGTGGGGTTATGTGTGGGGTTATGTGTGGGGTTATGTGTGGGGTTATGTGTGGGGTTATGTGAGGGGTTATGTGTGGGCGTGGGTTATGCGAGGGTGTGGGGTTATGTGTGGGGTTATGTGAGGGTGTGGGGTTATGTGAGGGTGTGGGGTTGTGTGAGGGTGTGGGATTATGTGATGATGTGGGGTTATGTGTGGGGTTATGTGTGGGGTTATGTGTGGGGTTATGTGTGGGCGTGGGTTATGTGAGGGTGTGGGATTATGTGAGGGTGTGGGGTTATGTGTGGGCGTGGGGTTATGTGTGAGTGTGGGGTTATGTGTGGGGTTATGTGAGGGTGTGGGGTTGTGTGAGGGTATGGGATTATGTGAGGGTGTGGGGTTATGTGTGGGGTTATGTGAGGGTGTGGGGTTATGTGAGGGTGTGGGATTATGTGAGGGTGTGGGGTTATGTGAGGGGTTATGTGTGGGGTTATGTGTGGGGTTATGTGTGGGTGTGGGGTTATGTGTGGGGTTATGTGAGGGTGTGGGGTTATGTGTGGGGTTATGTGTGGGTGTGGGGTTATGTGTGGGGTTATGTGTGGGGTTATGTGAGGGTGTGGGGTTATGTGTGGGGTTATGTGTGGGTGTGGGGTTATGTGTGGGGTTATGTGATGGTGTGGGGTTATGTGAGGGGTTATGTGTGGGGTTATGTGAGGGTGTGGGGTTATGTGAGGGGTTATGTGTGGGGTTATGTGTGGGGTTATGTGAGAGTGTGGGATTATGTGAGGGTGTGGGGTTATGTGAGGGTGTGGGGTTATGTGAGGGTGTGGGGTTATGTGTGGGGTTATGTGTGGGGTTATGTGTGGGTGTGGGGTTATGTGTGGGGTTATGTGTGGGTGTGGGGTTATGTGTGGGGTTATGTGTGGGATTATGTGAGGGTGTGGGGTTATGTGTGGGGTTATGTGTGGGTGTGGGGTTATGTGTGGGCGTGGGGTTATGTGTGGGTGTGGGGTTATGTGTGGGGTTATGTGTGGGGTTATGTGTGGGTGTGGGGTTATGTGTGGGATTATGTGTGGGTGTGGGGTTATGTGTGGGGTTATGTGTGGGTGTGGGGTTATGTGTGGGCGTGGGGTTATGTGTGGGTGTGGGGTTATGTGTGGGGTTATGTGTGGGGTTATGTGTGGGGTTATGTGTGGGGTTATGTGTGGGGTTATGTGTGGGGTTATGTGTGGGGTTATGTGTGGGTGTGGGGTTATGTGTGGGGTTATGTGTGGGGTTATGTGTGGGCGTGGGGTTATGTGTGGGTGTGACAATATGGGAATGTGTGACGTTATTTGAATGTGTGACTTTATTTGAATGTGTGACGTTATGTGAATGTGTGATTTTATTTGAATGTGTGACGTTATGTGAATGTGTGACGTTATGTGAATGTGTGACGATATTTGAATGTGTGACGTTTTGTGAATGTGTGACGTTATGTGAATGTGGTGTTTTGTTTGTGACGTTATTTGAATGTGTGACGTTATGTAAATGTGTGGTGTTTTGTTTGTGACGTTATGTGGATGTGTGACGTTATGTGAATGTGTGACGTTATGTGTGTGACGTTACTGTTCGACACTATATCGATGTTGAAATGGATGATGTAGTGTTTTGTAAGTGAATTAAGAGCTTATTTTACCTTTTTAAATTGGATTTCGGTTATGCTTAAAATGTGCACCATATTCTATCCTAGTTCAACGGATGTGGCTGTCCCTAACCCTAACCAAATAGATCTGGTCATGTTTAGTAAAACGAAGACAATATCAAGACCGTCAAGAAATGATCCAAAAACACCCCCCACCCCTCACCCTACTGATGTCTGCCAAAATAAACTCGCGTGACACGCACCGATGTGGCCTTGACCTGAGTGAGCACGACTGTATGAAGACAAAAAGTACCACGGTATTTATTTCAATCCTAACCCAAAAAAAATCCCACCCTATAAACTCCCACCCCATAAATCCCACCACTAATTAGGTCTCGTCTGTTTGTAAATAAACACATTGTTCACGAAGATCGGGAATCCCCGGAATTTTAGAAAAAAAAAATATTTTCCAGAAATCTGATCGGCCCTAGTTAAGGAACTTTCCTTTGTACGACGTCACATTATTAGGCGGTGTCTACAGAATAAATGTACCCGAAAAAAACATCACGTCAGATATCCTACACCTATTCAACGGGCACCCACCATCAACAAATTCTTTCATGCTCTCACCATGACGTCATGGTTGAACAACACACCTATGAGTTTCGCAACGTGACGTCCCGTACTTCAGCAGACGACCGCTGTAGTGTAAGCCACGCGATCGTTATCGCGCCATAATAACACTCGTATTTCTACTCTCATCTACTCAATTATCGTTTTAAAGCAAAAAAAAATAAAAAACCACTATCGGGATTTATGACAAAAGTTTGATAAATCTATTTTTATCAAATAATATTTCCTCTCACATAGAGTGAGTGAAGTAAATATCTTTGAAAACCTAACTGGTAGTAATAAGGCGTGGCACTGTCCATTTACCGAAAAATAAAATTCAAAACATTCTAAAATGACCATTTTAAATTTACGATAGTCCCTATAAATCAATTTTTAAATAGTGCATAAAAAGTGTGAATACCAATACAACGCGAATATAATGCACCAGTTTGTATAAAATCAAGATGGTATTTTCAAATATGACGTCAGCATGCATGACGTCATCACATGCTTAAAAAAAAGTGTATTCTAGTCCATGAATGAATCCTATCTACCGACCACGTCTATATATTGATATTAATATATTGCATTATGTTATAGCCTACACCACAATCACACCGATTCACGGATTATCAAAAAACTTACGCAGTTCTTTTAAATCCGAAAACAAAAATCCAAAAAAAAGAAAGTTGCATAACGAAAGAAAACAAGCTCCTGGATCTAAGACCAGCACCGTCTGTAGACGCTTACATCACAATAGACGGCTCTCTGTACAAGACGCGGGCTAAAGGGGAGGAAATGGATCCCATATCCTGCTCGTGGGAGAAGGTTCCAATCGGTTGAACTGCATGTTGTGGAGTTACCTCCCCTATCATAGACGGATAACGAAAACATGCCACTAGGTTTACAAACCTCATCTTCAGGTAGGAAACAAAGATTTCCTTACTGCTGCTGTACCTCAAAGTTGTTTTTTTAAATCTACAACTTTCATTATTTCATATTTAAATATTGACTTGGGTAAATTTTTATTTTATGTTCTATCAAGGTGTAACACAGCAGGTATCTACTGAAGTATCTACCCAGGTATCTACCCAGGTATCTAGTCAGGTATCTACTCACACCTGCAAAGAAGGTACTTTTCCCACGGCTGATTTCTCGCTTTTCATCTTTAGGAGGAACAAAACAACAACAACAACAACAACAACAGCAACAACAGCAACAACAACAACAACCGAGAAGTGAACAAACTCATTCACAGCTGAACCTTTGTTAGATGCATCATGTCTTTAAGAGCTTTGTGATAAACGTCAAGGTTTCGTGTGTTCAACTGAACACAAAGCAGCAACTGAACACAAAGCAGCAACTGAACACAAAGCAGCAACTGAACACAAAGCAGCAACTGAACACAAAGCAGTTGAACAGCTTGTGTTTACAGCCAGCAACAAAAATGTTTTACGCTAGAAAAGTTAAGACAACAAAAGAATGTTCAACATCTTCAAGAGATAAACCTTTGGATAATCCTTTAGTGTCTTATCTCCACGTGACCGCCCAAACCGATTACGTCACGTTTATCTGACGCGTTACTATGGCAACTGATTTGAATTTGACGCTAAATGAACGTACGCTTGTAGATGTGGAAAATAGATGCCGTTAGAGATAAAAACAACAGAGGCTCTCAAACTTTGGCATACGGTACCCGTGAGATATGGCACATTTTACATTTCAATTGGGTCATATAAATATACACTAGGGTTGAGCATAACGAACATCATAAATACAAAATGGATGATAGAATAATAACACCCCACATCGTACAAGCGATCAAGAACTACCCACCAACCAAACACCCCACCCACCAACACCCACAACCAACAACACCCACAATCAACAATATACCCCACCAACACCCACAACCAAACACCCCACCCACCAATACCCACAATCAACAAAACACCCCACCAACACCCACAATCAACAAAACACCCCACCAACACCCACAACCAAACACCCCACCCACCAATACCCACAATCAACAAAACACCCCACCAACACCCACAATCAACAAAACACCCCACCAACACCCACAATCAACAAAACACCCCACCAACACACACAATCAACAAAACACCCCACCAACACCCACAATCAACAAAACACCCCACCAACACACACAATCAACAAAACACCCCACCAACACACACAATCAACAAAACACCCCACCAACACCCACAATCAACAAAACACCCCACCAACACCCACAATCAACAAAACACCCCACCAACACCCACAATCAAAAAACACCCCACCAACACACACAATCAACAAAACACCCCACCAACACCCACAATCAACAAAACACCCCACCAACACCCACAATCAACAAAACACCCCACCAACACCCACAATCAACAAAACACCCCACCAACACACACAATCAACAAAACACACCACAACACCCACAATCAACAAAACACGCCACCAACACCCACAATCAACAACACAGCCCACCAACACCCACAACCAAACACCCCACCCACCAATGCCCACTATCAACAAAACACCCCACCAACACCCACAATCAACAAAACACCCCACCAACACCCACAATCAACAACACATTCCACCACCGTCCCACCCCCCCCCCCCCACATACCCACCAAACCCCCCACCTAACCCATCCAAAAACTTACACTGTAGTTGTTCTCTAGAATCTCTATGGCCCTGTTCAGGTTATTGATGTGGTGGACGCGGAGTTTCCCTTTCTCAGGTTTCTGGAGACAGAACAAAAGATCATCTACAACAATTGAGTTGCATCTAGATCACATATCACAGTATTTTTTTCTACAGGGGCTTCAATACAGTGCTGCATTTCGCATGTGTACAAACTGTTGATATCATGTTGTATTTCACACATCTTCCAACTGTTGATGTCATGTTGTATTTCACATGTCTACCAACTCTTTAAATCATGTTGTATTTCACACGTCAATCAACTGCTGATATGTTCTATTTCACGTGTCTACCTGTGTAAGCAGGTAAACACTAGCCATTACAGGTATTGTAGACAGCATTACCAGTATTGAACCCCCTGTAAGTCGTGATAGGATTTTAAAGTAACGATTAGATAATATTGGTCAAAAAGTTTTGATGAAACAAAACATAAAACGCATAGTGGAAAAATTGTAACAAAAATTAAAGGCTGTACTGAAAAAACAAAAAGTATGGTTTTTAATCTCAAGTCCTAGCGGTTAAATATTTGAATGCGGTTTTCATGTCTTTTAGGCTACAAATAGATGCCAAGGTAAATAAATTCAAGTGTGTTGTTTAAAAAAGTCTTTAAAATAGTTATGGCGGTTGGATTATTTGGTTAGATGATGAGTACTGCTTTTCTTCAACTCCCAACTCAGCATAGGTTATCTACAACACATATTTTATCTCCTTGGTTATTGTCTCCTTTTCTCAACAACTCTTTCCAATAATTTTCATTTTCGTTTTTCCGTGTGAATTCTGTTATTCAGCTTCTCTGGTATTAAAGTACATCAAGATTCCTCTTTAGATAGCGATCCCCTGGGCAGATGAAGTAGAGTTCACATGTTTCTTGAGCTTGGCATATAGGGGTAGGGGTGGGACATGGACAGGGGTAGGGGTGGGACATGGACAGGGGTAGGGTGGGACATGGACGGGGGTATGGTGGGACATGGACGAGGGTAGGGGTGGGACATGGACGGGGTAGGGGGGACATGGACGGGGGTAGGGGTGGGACATGGCCGGGGGTAGGGTTGGGACATGGACGGGAATAGTGGTGGGGCAAGGACGAGGGTAGGGGTAGGACATGGATGGGGTTAGGACATGGAGGGGGGTAGGGGTGGGAGACGACGGGGTAGGGCTGAGACCTGGGCAACAGCTGGTCCAAACCACGCGTAACTCCATTGGACAGTTCTGTACCACGTGAAGTCGCGCGCCACTAATTCTATTTATTATCCACAGTCGCCCAACGTACGTGTTGGCAAAGGTCAAGGCCTATAAAAACCTAAAGTGATTTAGGACCTGATTAAGTTAAGTCCATCTAATGGACTGACCATCCGGACAAGGTGGTAGACATTACTGGCCTCGAGAAATCGATAACTTAACAATGGGACTTCGGCTCTCCATTTGGTCAAGTCATCCAACTCTTAGTAATAGCTACATCATTGCGATTTTAATATCATAGAATTTATAGCAGCCCGGTGTAAATAGCTACATCATAGTAATTTTACTATTTCGTATGCATAGAATAATACTGACAACGTCACTGATTGTATATAGATATCCATGAAAAGAGTAGATTGAATTCTAAAACATGTCTTTAAACTTAAAAATAAGCTACTTCAATACAAGATCAAAACATGACAACATTACTCACAATACTGGGGCCACCCAGGACAACATTACTTACAAGACTGAGGCCACCCAGGACAACATTACTTACAAGACTGAGGCCACCCAGGACAACATTACTCACAATACTGGGGCCACCCAGGACAACATTACTCACAATACTGGGGCCACCCAGGACAACATTACTTACAAGACTGAGGCCACCCAGGACAACATTACAAGACTGAGGCCACCCAGGACAACATAACAAGACTTGGGCCACCCAGGACAACATTACAAGACTGAGGCCACCCAGGACAACATTACAGTACTGGGGCCACCCAGGACAACATTACTCACAAGACTGAGGCCACCCAGGACAACATTACTCACAAGACTGAGGCCACCCAGGACAACATTACAAGACTGGGGCCACCCAGGACAACATTACTTACAAGACTGGGGCCACCCAGGACAACATTACTCACAAGACTGAGGCCACCCAGGACAACATTACAAGACTGAGGCCACCCAGGACAACATTACAAGACTGGGGCCACCCAGGACAACATTACTTACAAGACTGGGGCCACCCAGGACAACATTACAAGACTGAGGCCACCCAGGACAACATTACAAGACTGGGGCCACCCAGGACAACATTACTCACAAGACTGAGGCCACCCAGGCCAACATTACAAGACTGGGGCCACCCAGGACAACATTACTTACAAGACTGGGGCCACCCAGGACAACATTACTCACAAGACTGAGGCCACCCAGGACAACATTACAAGACTGAGGCCACCCAGGACAACATTACAAGACTGGGGCCACCCAGGACAACATTACTTACAAGACTGGGGCCACCCAGGACAACATTACAAGACTGAGGCCACCCAGGACAACATTACAAGACTGGGGCCACCCAGGACAACATTACTCACAAGACTGAGGCCACCCAGGACAACATTACAAGACTGAGGCCACCCAGGACAACATTACAAGACTGGGGCCACCCAGGACAACATTACTTACAAGACAACATTACAGTACTGGGGCCACCCAGGACAACATTACTCACAAGACTGAGGCCACACAGGCCAACATTACAAGACTGGGGCCACCCAGGACAACATTACTTACAAGACTGGGGCCACCCAGGACAACATTACTCACAAGACTGAGGCCACCCAGGACAACATTACAAGACTAAGGCCACCCAGGACAACATTACAAGACTGGGGCCACCCAGGACAACATTACAAGACTTGGGCCACCCAGGACAACATTACTCACAAGACTGAGGCCAACCAGGCCAACATTACAAGACTGGGGCCACCCAGGACAACATTACTTACAAGACTGGGGCCACCCAGGACAACATTACTTACAAGACTGGGGCCACCCAGGACAACATTACAAGACTGGGGCCACCCAGGACAACATTACTTACAAGACTGAGGCCACCCAGGACAACATTACAAGACTGAGGCCACCCAGGACAACATTACAAGACTGGGGCCACCCAGGACAACATTACAAGACTGAGGCCACCCATGACAACATTACTTACAAGACTTGGGCCACCCATGACAACATTACTTACAAGACTGGGGCCACCCAGGACAACATTACTTACAAGACTTGGGCCACCCAGGACAAAATTACAAGACTGAGGCCACCCAGGACAACATTACAAGACTGGGGCCACCTAGGACAACTTTAAAGTACTGGGGCCACCCAGGACAACATTACAAGACTGAGGCCACCCAGGACAACATTACAAGACTGAGGCCACCTAGGACAACATAACAAGACTGGGGCCACCTAGGACAACTTTACAAGACTGAGGCCACCCAGGACAACATTACAAGACTGGGGCCACCCAGGACAACATTACTTACAAGACAACATTACAGTACTGGGGCCACCCAGGACAACATTACTCACAAGACTGAGGCCACCCAGGACAACATTACAAGACTGGGGCCACCCAGGACAACATTACTTACAAGACTGGGGCCACCCAGGACAACATTACTTACAAGACTGGGGCCACCCAGGACAACATTACAAGACTGAGGCCACCCAGGACAACATTACTTACAAGACTGGGGCCACCCAGGACAACATTCGGAGACTGGGGCCACCCAGGACAACATTACTTACAAGACTGGGGCCACACAGGACAACATTACAAGACTGAGGCCACCCAGGACAACATTACAAGACTGAGGCCACCCAGGACAACATTACAAGACTGAGGCCACCCAGGACAACATTACTTACAAGACTGGGGCCACCCAGGACAACATTACTTACAAGACTGAGGCCACCCAGGACAACATTACTTACAAGACTGGGGCCACCCAGGACAACATTACAAGACTGGGGCCACCAAGTCCCATTACTTACAAGACTGGGGCCACCCAGGACAACATTACTTACAAGACTGGGGCCACCCAGGACAACATTACTTACAAGACTGGGGCCACCTAGGACAACATTACAAGACTGGGGCCACCCAGGACAACATTACAAGACTGAGGCCACCCAAGACAACATTACAAGACTGAGGCCAACCAGGACAACATTACAAGACTTGGGCCACCCATGACAACATTACTTACAAGACTGGGGCCACCCAGGACAACATTACTTACAAGACTTGGGCCACCCAGGACAAAATTACAAGACTGAGGCCACCCAGGACAACATTACAAGACTGGGGCCACCTAGGACAACTTTAAAGTACTGGGGCCACCCAGGACAACATTACAAGACTGAGGCCACCCAGGACAACATTACAAGACTGAGGCCACCTAGGACAACATAACAAGACTGGGGCCACCTAGGACAACATTACAAGACTGAGGCCACCCAGGACAACATTACAAGACTGGGGCCACCCAGGACAACATTACTTACAAGACAACATTACAGTACTGGGGCCACCCAGGACAACATTACTCACAAGACTGAGGCCACCCAGGACAACATTACAAGACTGGGGCCACCCAGGACAACATTACTTACAAGACTGGGGCCACCCAGGACAACATTACTTACAAGACTGGGGCCACCCAGGACAACATTACAAGACTGAGGCCACCCAGGACAACATTACAAGACTGAGGCCACCCAGGACAACATTACAAGACTGAGGCCACCCAGGACAACATTACAAGACTGAGGCCACCCAGGACAACATTACTTACAAGACTGGGGCCACCCAGGACAACATTACAAGACTGGGGCCACCCAGGACAACATTACTCACAAGACTGAGGCCACCCAGGACAACATTACAAGACTGGGGCCACCCAGGACAACATTACAAGACTGAGGCCACCCAGGACAACATTACTCACAAGACTGAGGCCACCCAGGACAACATTACAAGACTGGGGCC